TTTGTTTTCTCTCCTTGGCCTCCTCCTCGTCATGGCTATAGAATACTGAGGAGGCAATTCTTACTAACATCTCAAGTGAGCTATCTGGGGTAAAAGCCATTCTTTGTAGCTTTTTCTCTCCAGCTTCCCATTGCTTTGGGACCCCACAACCAGTTAGTGTCCTCTCCCCAACTGTCAGCAGATTATATTTTTAAAAAAGGTAGCCGGGCGTGATGGCACATGCCTGTAATCCCAGCACTCGGGAGGCTGAGGCAGGAGGATCGTTTGCAAGTTCGAGGCCAGCCTGGGCTACAAAGTGAGTTCAAGTTGAGCCTGAACTGTGCAGAGAGACCCTGTCTCAAAAAGACAAAAATAAAATAAAATGGAAGAAGGGAGGGAGAGTGGAAAGGGAGGGAGGAAAGGAAAAAAGAATTCCAACACTCAAAAGCTGCATTTCACTGTTTTTCATCATTTTTTATGTTTTTATTAGTACTGCACCTGACCATAGAACACAGTGATTACGTTCACCCTGGGGAGTTGGTAGATTACACATCTTATAATTCACTTTCTAAAATTTTTTTCTCATCATTTTTTTTTTTTTTTTTTTTTTTGGTACAGGGAATCAAATTAGGACCTTGTGCTTGCCAGGCAGGTGCTTATGCCGCTGAGCTATATCCCCGGCCCTTTTCTCATCATTTTTATAAAATATTGCTTTCTCTACTTTTAAATGATGTGTAGGATGCTAGACTCCAGCTGCCCCAAATCCAGGGCCACACGGGTAGAGCAGGTGACCGTTTGCTTGTACGATGGAAAGAGCCCTGAGAAGATGATGGTGACTAAAATCTGTCCCCTTCAGTCCTTCTTCCCCTCCCTTTCACATACCCGCCCACCCCTCCACCTCTGGCCATGATCAAATATACGGTGACGGATTAATTTTTACATTTATAATAGTAAAAAACGCATTGTCGTTAATTCCCCTCGGAGTACCCCGGGCTTGAGTCCCCTCTCCCATCGCTCCCGTGGCTCCCCGAAGCAGCCCTGGGGTCCCCTTTCGTGAGAGTCTTCAGTGCACGGTTGTGGCTGCCTCGATGTCCTGAACTGATTCAAAACATGAACCTTATGGTCATTCTGACTTCGAAGAGGAGCCAGAAGTCGTACAGTGCCAGGTCCAGTGAATAAGGTGGATGAAGACACACAATAATTTGTAAACATTTCCTTGGCCTTTTGTTGGCAGTGCTCTTTTTTTGACATTTTAAAACATTTTTATTAGTACTTATTTGAAGTACATGTGATTACATTCATTGTGGGGGTTGCCATGTGTATATAATACATCATTCTTTTTTCAGCCCCTTCCTCTCCCCTTTCTTCCCCTCCCTATATCTCTTGCTGCCCTTCCCTTTTGCAAAACATATATCTCTGTTTCCTATGACCTATTTTGCTCTTTAAGACACACTGTACCGTTTTCACAAGCCTGCCTTTCTACTGGATGGCATTCAGCAGCAGTATTGACTGTATTTTTTTTTTTGTACCAGGAATCGAACTCAGGACCTTGTGCTTGCCAAGCAGGCGCTTATGATATAGTCACTGAGCAATATCCCCAGCCCTTCACTGTACTTTTTATCACAGCTCATAAAGACACTCACTAAGACTTTCAGAACCACTTCAGAAAGTGGCAAGAGCCAGGCGTAGTGGTGCACGCCTGTAATCCCAGCACTTGGGAGGCTGAGGCAGGAGGATGGTTGCGAGTTCGAGACCAGCCTGGGCTACAAAGTGAGCTCAAGGCCAGTCTGAACTGCATAGTGAGACCCCGTCTCAAACACACACACACACACATACAAAGAAAAAAAAAAGGTAAAAGTAGGAAGAAGTACATGAAGCTGTAAAGCCTGGCCTGCAGGTACTGGCATAGGGCACACAGGGCTCTGTGAAGCACGGGCTCAGGGAAGGCCGGGGAGGAGGCAGGAGGCCTAGGCGGTTGGGCCTTTGAGCAAAGATGCCACCTTCCTGCTCAGGCCCAGGCTGTGCCAGACTGGGGTGGGCTGGGTACACAGTGTGTTGAAACTGAAATTGGTGGAAGAATTTGAAGAACGGGGGAGGGCGGGTGGGGCTGGTAATTACATGGCTCGGCGCTGGAGAGCTGGCCCGGCCGGGCCACATGAGCACCCGGCAACGCTTCCTGCGCGGGGCTCAGCCAGCCGCTCTGCCCGCTCTGCAGCGGCGCCTCTGCCTCCCCGATGCAGCACCTGCTTCGCTGAGGAGACTGTTCCATGTGGCCCTGGTGGGCCTGTCTGGGGCTGGAACACAGAGGTCACACAAGAAGACTCATGCTGCCTCTGCCTGGCCCAACCCTGGCCTTCCTGAGGCCTTGGAGTTCCACACTTTTTCAACCTTGAGTTTTCAATCTTATCTCTGAGTTAATGCTTTTTGATGCTCAAATTTGGGGCTCAAACAGCATGCAAACCATGAAGCCATGGTAATAATATGCCATGTTAGGCTAGGTGTGGTAGCGCATACCTGTAATCCCAGCACTCGGGAGGCTGAGGCAGGAGGATCACTGCAAGTTCGAGGCCAGCTTGGGCTACCCAGTGAGTTCAAGGCCAGCCTGAACTGCATAGCAAGACCCTGTCTCAAAAAGACAAAAAAATAATAATAATATCCTACACTGACTAATTGTCATTGCCAAGGACAAATGAGGCACGTCGCACACATTTATCAGAATTTTTTTTTTTTTTGGTACTGGGAATCAAACTCAGGACCTTGTGCTTGCCAGGCAGGGGCTTGTGCTGCTGAGCTATATCCCCAACCCCAACACACACATTTATCAGATTCTCACTCCACAAGTGCAGGAATAGGGCTCAAAGATCAATCCCATCGCAAGAGCTCCACAATTAAAAGAAATGGAAAGGGCCTCAGGTCCAGCTTGATCTGGCTGCTAAGCCTAGGCCGTCTCCTCCCTCCCTTCTTTCTCCTCTGCCTTACTCCTTCTGTCTGTGCTCCTTCCCCTTCTTTCTTTTCTCCCTTCTCTCTATCATATTTTGACCTTAAAGATGGAGAACTGATTTAAACACACTCCTTAGTTCCTGGCTCTTCATCACCACAGGGCCGTGCAAAGCCCCTCTTGCTTTACTATACAAGTTCTTCCTGCCTCACTGAACCACATTCCCGTGGCCCCATGACTGTCGCTCACACGTAACAGGGACTGGCCTTTAGCGGGCAGACACTCCAGGAATTTGGCAGAATCAAGCCTTTAGGTATGTTTCCTCATGAATCAGAACCCAGCTTGAAGCCAGGCATGGCAGCGTACACCTGTAATCCTAGCACTCTGGAACCTGAGGCAGGAGGATCACCACAAGTTCAAGGCCAGCCTGGGCTCCATAGCAAGACCCTGTGTCAAAAACACAAAGACAAAAATTTCCAGTTTGACCTGGGAAACTTTTCAAGGTGACTCTCCAGCAGCTCCATCACTTGGCTGTCCATTAGCCCAGAATTGTGTTTACTCTGGACAAAGCAAAGTTGTGGAATTGATAAGAGAGAAAATCCTGTCCCTACCCTCAAGAAGTTTAAAGATTTCCTTTTCATCAACGTATGCAGAGCACCGACTTCATGTGCCAAGTCCAGAGAAAGAAGGATGACAACAGCCGCTGCCCTCTGAGAGCGACGAAGCTGTGGGGGGAAGATCATGAAGCAATCGTCACCCCAGGTGAGACCGAGGGAGGACGGGAGACTCCGGCCAGCCCGGCCCGGGCATGGCACGGACAGTCATGCTGACCACAGAAGTCACTGAAGGGCCACACATCTAAGTGCAGTGGTTTCCGCCCCTCTGCCTCAGCGTTGTGTAATAGTGACGGGCAGATTTTCATCACATTTGGAGGGGAAGTTTGGGACCATGAGACTTAAAATGTAAATCATGTAGCATGCAGAAAATTTTATATTTTTCTTTCTTTCTTTCTTTCTTTCTTTCTTTTTTTTGTCTTTTTGAGGCAGGGTCTCACTATGCAGTTCAGGCTAGCCTTGAGCTCACTTTGTAGCTCAGGCTGGTCTCGAACTCATGACGATCCTCCTGCCTCAGCCTCCCAAGTGCTGGGATTACAGGTGTGTGCCACCATGCCCGGCTTATTTTTCATTTTTATAAACTTTTATTGGTACCTTTTAAATTTACACAATGACAGCATTCATAAGGACAGCATAGGGAGTTTGTACCTGTACGTGAGATAGCTTGCTGCTTCTCTTTTTCCATTCTTCTCCCTCCCTCACACCCCTCTTCCTCTCCTTATTTACAAAAGCTTTGTTTCCATTTTTTCCTTCTGTTCTCTCTTTTTCTTTGTCCTTCTTTCCTTTTCTCTTCCCTCCTCCCTTGTTGCCTCTCCCATCTGAACATTTTCTTCCCATTTCCCAGTGTCTGTCACACCCCCTTATTTACGCTTTCGGTCTCTCACACCAGGGATACAATGCAGTATTTAAACACGTGTGTCTGATTCATTTCACTTAAGAGTACGGTCTCAAGGCGCATCAATTTAGCTAGAAATGTCTCAAGCTTATCCTTCTTTATGGCAGAGAAGTACTCCACTCTATAAAAAAAAGCCTGCTGTATCCATTCATCAGTCGATGGCCATTTGGGCTGTTTCCAAGATTTAGCTATTACACATTGTGCCAAGTTGTTTTAAATTGTAAAACTTGTGGGAAGTGGGCTATCAAAGGACACCAGGGAGAAGCAAGCAGTCATACTAGACTAGAACTTTCAGAAAGTTGGGTGGGACACAGACGGGCCCCTCCCCAGATGCATGACCTGGACAAAGCAAACAGGGTCTCTAGTAGGAGTGTGAATCCCAAGCTGAGGACCGGCACACAGGTGGAGGCACAGCTGGCCTGCCTTCGGCGCGAGGCGCTTTCCACCAGCTGGGTTCTCATATAAGAAGAATGGTATCGTATTGTTTTCTCCGCCTTCTTTTCCTCTTTTCCTTTTTCTGTTCTTTTTTTGTTTTGTTTTGTTTTGAGACAGGGTGTCACTATGCAGTTCAGGGGCTGGCCTTGAACTCACTCTGTAGCCCAGTTGGGCCTCGAACTTGTGGCGATGCTCCTGCCTCAGCCTTCCGAGTGCTGGGATTACAGGCATGTGCCACCACGTCCGGCTCTTCTATTCTGCCTTGTTTCACTTATCGTAATGTTTTCAGGGTTCATCTGTGTTCTGGCATGTATCAGAACTCTAGCATGTATACAAGGCTGACTAATATTCCATGGTATCCCTAAACCACATTTTGTTCATGTGTTCCTCCACCTGTGGACATCAGGAAGTTGTCCTGATGTCATGAGAAGTTGAGTCACAGGGCGAGGGTCCTCCCCGTGGCCCTCTGCTCAGCAGGTGGGGAGGCAGCCTTGCCCCCTGACCCTCCGGGAAAGTCATGGCTCACTAGGGGCTGCCGGCAAGTCCATGTTGGGAAGCCTACGAAGCTTCTGTAACTTAGGTCTTCATGCAGCCGGCAGGAGGGAGCCCACCGAGCAGGAGGAAGTGGGTAACAGTTTCCCAGACCCTTGCCCACACAGCAGGCCACAAGAGGCACCCTGGGTTCTGACAGCGGGCACCAGCCCTCCTCGCTCTGCACCTAGGGATCATCCGCCCCAAAGGTGAAGGACATGGGGGCCTGTGGGCCAGGCAGCACCCTGCTGCGTTGGCTACTGGGACGGTGCGGGGCTCTCATCTGAGCCAGGAGAGTGGGGAGTGCTGTTAACCGCTTAGTGGGAAAGCGGTGGTCCTGCCCCCAGCTCGAGCTGGAGAGAGTCGCCCCACCCGCCTGTCGCAGACCTGGGACGCTGTGGTCTGGGCTTGCGGAGCAGGGGACTTGGAATCACGGGGAACCCTAGCAAGAGCGCCGAGGGGAAATGGTGTTCCGGAGCGGGCAGTCCCGGCAAAGGAGTGCGGCGGGAGGGGCTGGGGAGAACCGAGTGAGGAGGAGGCACCCGGAGCGGGTTCTGCAGAATCACAGACCCACTCCCCCACCAGCACCCCCCAGACCCTCTGCTGTAGACTCAGGCTCACAAGACAGGACGTCCCCAAGGCCACGCACTTCCCTCTAGGCCTCTGTGGTCTGCCTTCTCCTACCCCACCCCAGGGTCAAACAGCCAAGCCCCAGCACGCACAGAAAACAAGGTGGGCTTTCCTCTGTCCCTTACCACTTCCTCGCCTTCCGGCCCCTCGGGGCCTCTTGGGCTGGCCTTATCTTTGTCCTGGATGTACATTTTTTTTCATGTTAAAAAAAAAAATCACCACACACATACACAACTCCCCACGGCACCCCACTGTCCATGGGATACCTCCCCAAGGCACACGCTGTCCCTCTTCGTCTGGAACGCCAGTTCTGGGCCCTGCACACGGTGGGGGCTCAGCGTAGAGATCGTCCGCGCTAATGCTTGAGCTAAGCAGCGGGGGCTGTTGCCACATTTCAGCGGGGTCACAGGCTTTCCTGGAAGGAACAGCTCCCTGCCGTGAGTAATTCTTTCAGTAGAGGCTGCAGATCCTGCACAGCAGCGATTTTCAGACTCCTTGTGATCCAATACACACCTACATAAATATCACGCTGAAAACAAAAGTTTCACAGAGTAACATCTCCTTTTCACCTCCCTGTAGTATGTCCTGATATTTTTATTTCATCTTTCATAAGTGCTAGTGTTGACCAAGGGAAATTGGTTTCAGGGTCACAAATGGGTCAAGAGTCACAGTTTGAAAAATACTCCTGTGAAAGCCGCTTGTCAGATTCCCTGACCCTCGCTGTGCCTCTCCAGGTCACGATGCTGTGTGACATCATTTCCTCTTCAGTAGGCGGGTACCAGTGGCCACCCCTAAACAGCTTACCCCCTTCAGAAGGCTCGTTCTCTTGAAGTTGAGCAGAGACTAGCAGGGGTTTGGGGACCCTGCTTGGGTAGACAGCTGCTGACGGTGCCAGCTTCAGGGAAGAGGGCTCCCAGGCACAGCCACTCTGAGACCAAGGCTGCCCGCTCATTTATCAACAAATATCTGTCGATGGCCTACTATGTGCACGGTCCCTGCCACACTGGTGAAGAAGTAGAGAAACTGGAACTTTGTGCATTTCTGGTGGGTATGTAAATGGTTCGGTCACTGTAGAAACTACTGTGGCAGTTCTTGAAAAAGTTAAACCTAGAGCTACCATGACCCAGCAATTACATTTCTTTGGTTGTAGACCCAAAAGAACTGAAGCCAGGGACTTGAACAAATATTTGTATATCCATCCATAGCAGCTTTCATTTTTCATTCACAAGATGAAAGGTAGAAACAACCCAATGTCCACAGATGGATGAACACATGAACAAAATGTGGTTTAGGGATACCATGGAATATTAGTCAGCCTTGTATACATGCTAGAGTTCTGATACATGCCAGAACACAGATGAACCCTGAAAACATTACGATAAGTGAAACAAGCCAGAAAGAAGAGCCGGACGTGGTGGCACATGCCTGTAATCCCAGCACTCGGAAGGGCAAGGCAGGAGGATCACCGCAAGTTCGAGGCCCAGCTGGGCTACAAAGTGAGTTCAAGGCTAGCCCCTGAACTACATAGTGACGCCTTGTCTCAAAACAAAACAAAAAAAGAATAGAAGAAAAAGAGGAAGAGAAGGAAGAGAAAAAGGAGAAAGAGAGGAGGAGAAAGAGAAGGGAGAGAGAGGAGGAAAACACATACGGAACCGTTCTACTTATACGAGGTTTCTAGTCCTGCGCGGTGGCAGCATCGAAGCCGGTGAGGTTTGTCCGAGGCCCGTTAGTGCTGGATGCGTAGCGGAAAGCGGAGCTGTGACTGCGTGGGTGGGGGAGGCCGGGGGTTCAGTGTTTAAGGGGCGCGGTTTCGGCCCGTGAAGGTAAAGTTTAGAAGTGAAATACTGGAGGTGGTCACCCAGTATTGCAAACGTACCTAGATTGTACCCACAAAAACGGTGAACATGACAGACCTTATTCTTTAAAATTAACTTTATTGGTCCATGTTAGATACACATGACACTCATCATAGGGAGTTTGTACCTGTACATGATGTGTGCTCTCCCTCTCCCCTCCCTTCAACTCCGCTTCCTCTCATTTGTAAAAACTTTCTTTCCATTTCTCCTTCTATTCTCTTTTTTACCCTTGTCCCTTCTTTCCTTTCCTCCTCCCCCTCCCTTGTTCCCTTTCCCATTTGAACATTTTCTTCCCATTTCCCAATATCTATTATATATTTTGGTCCTTAGTTTCTCGTACCCAAGAAGCAATGTGGACATGTGTGTCCAATTTATTTCACTTAAGGGTATAGTCTCCAAGCATGGTGGTGCACGCCTGTAATCCCAGCACTTGGGAGGCTGAGGCAGGAGGATCGCTGCGAGTTCGAGGCCAGCCTGGGCTACAAAGTGAGGTCAAGGCCAGCCTGAACTGCACAGCGAGACCCTGTCTCAAAAAGACAATTAAAAAGAATATGGTCTCAAAAAAAAAACAAAGAAGAGTATAGTCTCAAGAACATGATGAATTTTATATTATGTATATTTTACCAGAATTAGAAAAAAAAAGAGTAACAAACCAAAGAACACGCTAGCTCTCCTGCCTCAGCGCAGGGCCGCACTCCGCAAGGTCCTCCAGAGCAGTGCGGGGTGGGCAGACGCGGAGACAGGAGCCCCACACATGCCCTCTTTCTGTCACCCAGAGCAGTTCCCCGTCTGTTTCCAATTTTGACTGTGTTCAGATGAAATTCTGTTTGAAGCTAAAGCCACTGCTGCTTAAAGCCTCATTTCCTTAACCTATGCCTTCCTTCTCTCACATGGCCCCTGTGGAGAGGCTGCGGTGGGAGGGGGCCCTGCCCTGGGGCGGGGGTGTCGGTTCTCACATGCCCAGCTTCACCTCCTCCTGGAGGGCAGGGTTCTCACCTGAGTCATCTCTGGTCTTGCCCAGGGTGGGGTACAGAAAAGGCACCTGATTTTGGCATTGAAATCCTTGGCTCCAAGTCCCGGCTCTGCCTTTTAGAAGACACTGAAGGTGCCGGCCCGCTTCCTTAACCGTGAAATGGGTGACCCTGCCACCACCCACCCTGAGCAGGCTGTGTCACCTCGTCACAGAGGACGCCCAGCTTGGTGCCAGACGCAGACGAGGCACGAGGCACGTCGGGCGAGCTTCGGTGTTGAGGCCCGAGGCTCCGGAATGAGGGCTATGGGCCTCAGGTGTGCCCAGGAGCCCCGGCGGCGCCCTGTGCCCTTGGACCTGCCCGGCCAGCCCAGCCAGTCCTAGCGCCTCAGCGCAGCGCCGCCGGAGCGCAGCCACCCTCAGAGCAAACAGCCTGGGGAGCGGGGCCTCCGGACGCCGCAAATGCTTCCGAGCCACGTCACGGTTTCACGAGCTGGTTTCCGCCGCCCCCAGGAGCCTCCCCAGATACGCTCGGCTCAGGTGACATCGCCACGCCCTCCGCGGCCCCTCCGTCTGCACGTGTGACAGTTCTGGGCCTTCCACACTAGACTGCAGTTCTTGGGAGCTGGGTTCCAAGCTGCTCATCTCTACTGCCCGGCCCGGTAACTCGGGGCGAATCGGTGATGACCATGCCAACCCAGCGGCGGTCCGGCGCGCAGCCCTTAGCACAGGAGTGGCACAGGTCGAAGGGCCTTGGTTAATTCTTGTAAATGGCACAAAACCCCTAGCAGGTGTGTCCTGCTCCCAGGAGCCTCCCTTATCGTTGTTATTTTGTCTATAATCCTCCTTTTTGTTGTCTTCTTTTTTCTTGGTACCAGGAATCGAACTCAGGACCTTGCACTTGCCAGGCCGCTGCTTGTGCTGCTAAGCTCTATCCCCGGCCCTAGTCCTTCTTTTTCATGGAGAAACAGGCTCAGAGAGCATAAGTGCCTTGCCCAAGGTTACCAAAGAGTCGGAAGCAGGACTTGAACCCTGGTGCTCAGATTTGCTCTTTTTTTCAGATTGCTCTTTTAACCTCTACTCCAAACCGAACTGTTTTTCACACAGGCTCTAACATCCCCCCCAAGGTGTGCCTGGCAGGAAGGCCACATCCAGCGTGTGCAACCTCCCCTTGACAGGAGTTCGCAGTCACACAGGGCTCCTTCCTCAGGTGGGGCCGCCCTGCTCCCCTGTAACACAGCCTGCTGGGCACGTGGAATTGTGTCCTCCTCCACTCAGCTGACCACACCTTCCTCATCTGAGCTCTGCTCTGTCTCTCGGCTGATGGCCCCTGCCTCACCGGCTACTGTCCCCAGACCTCCCCCGTGTCCTCGAGCCTGCACTGCCCCACACTGGCCATTGTGTGGCCTGAGGAGCGGGGAGTGAGGAAGGCGGCGGCCTCCCTGTTCCAGGGCCACTTGCTCCGCATGTGGCTGGGCTGTCAGGGCCCCTCACTCCTGGTCCTCTCTGCAAGAGCAGCCTCCTGGGTCCTCCTGTCTAGTTGGATGCCTGGTTTTATCTTTTTTTTTTTTTTTTTTTTTTGAGACAGTGTCTCGCTATGCAGTTCAGGCTGGCCTTGAGCTTACTTTGTAGCCCAGGCTGGCCTTGAATTCACAACAATCCTCCTGCCTCAGCCTCCCGAGTACTGGGATTACATGCATGAGCTACCACGCTCGGCAGGACTCCTGGTATAGTGCACCCAAGTAGAAAATGTTACATTTCCCTTTATAAAATTTCCTCCTTTCTTTTTCCAACTGGACAAGACTGTTTTGAATCCTGACTCTTTCACCTCAGAGCTATTTACTACCCTTCCCAGGGCTGGGTCATCTACAGCCCGCAGAAGCCTCACTTCAGGGTTTTTATTTTATAAAGACAAATAAAATAAATTGCTTAGCACGGCAGGTTTAGGTTGCCTCATCTGTGCTTGTCCCTGGTGAGACCCAAAGTGCCTGCCGAGGGGCTCCAGAGCCCCCGGTGGCCTGGCATGTGCGCACAGGCCTTGCTCTGGGAAGGGGTGGAAGGGACCCGCTAACCTGTCCTCTGTGTCGGGAGCCTCATTTCCCTGGTGACCTTTGCTTCACTCCATTGTTCCCCGCGTGAGGAGCACGCTGAGAGGGGCGCTGGAGACAGCAGAGAAATGCAGGGCTTCTTCTCCTTCTCTGGCAAAACACACCTTCCCTGTGCAGAGAGGAGTCATGCTTCGTTTTCTTGCTCCAGACCGACCCGGAGGAACCAAATAACCAACCTCGGTGCTGACGGGGATGCCTCGGCACTCACTGCGCATTCTGGGTTTCCCTGCTCTGGGCTGTCCGACGCACCGAGGTGTTTCACGGCCAACGCGTCACACAAACGGGAACAACCAGGAGGCCCACTGCAAGTCTAAGCTCATCTGTCCACTGTAGCTACTGCCTTGCTTCCCTTTCTTTCTGTTAAAATCATTTATAATTTCATCTCCACTAGCTAGAATGCTTAAGCTTGGAGGATTTTTGTCTACTCCTTACACCACTATATGCCAACTGGGCTGCTGTTTTTTTGGTTTTTTTTTTTTGGTCTTTTTGAGACAGGGTCTCGATATGTAGTCCAGGCTGACCTTGACTCACTTTGTAGTCCAGGGTGGTCTTCAACTCGCAACAATCCTCCTGCCTCAGCCTCCTGAGTGCTAGGATTACAGGCATGCACCACCACGCCCAGCTCTAAGCATTTTTTTTTTTTTAGTACCGGAAATCAAACTCAGGACCTTGCGCTTGCCAGGCAGGTGGTTATGCCACTGAGCTGTCTCCCCAGGCCGCTGAAATGTTTTTTAAGGCTGATTGTTTTTTTAGGTTATTACTGGTATTTATTATAGCTCTACCCCATCAGGAGAAATGGTTTCATCATTTTTAAATGAATAGCATTTGCAAATATCAGCTATAGGATGTGTAATGTATTATGCATGCGTAATGCCTGGTAATCTGCTGTTAACACAGAAAGCTCCTGGTGGTGTGACAGGTCTCCGATGCACTGGCTTCATGCTCTCTCAGATGAGGTGGAATAATTCATTCTTCTCTCAGAAATACCTGGCTTCTATCTGATGTCCCCTCCCTGACAGGAGCGCCTGTGTCATCACCTGGAGTGACTCACAGAAGCAGATCTGGGGACCGAGTGGTGAGGGAGGTGAGAGAGACATGCTACCAAGACAAAAAGACTCGGCCTACCTCGGTGAACGCGCTCCCCTTGCTTGCTCAAAATAGTGAAGAGGGTGCAATTTGTCTTCCATCCACCCCCACCCTCTAAACTGCCCCCAGCCCAAATCCTGACTGGCCCAGCCCTGGCCTCTGTCATGTGGGCCACCCTGCCCGAGACTTCCCTCTGTGCATCTAGCGCCAGGCAATGCAAGCCAAGACACCCAACAGCAAGGGAAGCACTTTGACCTCAGGCAGCCAAGCTGGAGGGGAGGGTTCACCCTCGAACCTGAGGTCACAGTGTGCCTCGTCTGCGGTCCCACGGAGGAGAGCCGGCCCAGGAGAGCCACTCAACAGCATCTCCATCACCCAGAATCACGGAGGTGCCCATGAATTGCTTTTTCTGAGAAGTACGACTTCAACCGCAAAACAGTATTTTAACCACTTCGAAGGGAAAACGCACTAACATGTGACCCACGTTTCCATAATATGTTTTGAAAATTTTTCCCCACTGACGTCAGCTCCCTTCCAATCCCCTGTGGAGCTGGACCGTCATGTAACTGGGCCTCTGTTCTGCTGTCTCTCTCTTCTTCCCTGTAGCCTCTGCTCTCCTCTTACCCACACGTCTATCTCCCAGGCCACCGGCCACCCTCACTCTGGCTGTTTGTTTGTCCTGCAGAGGGTTAAGAGCAGACAGTGGCTTGATAGGCCCGTGTGCTAAGTAGGTGTCAGCACAGCCTGACGTGCCCAGAGGGATAAAGCACTTTTTTCAGTGCAAGGATTTTGATTTAGCCGTTTCTTTTTTCTTT